CGTACCTAGCAAGCATTCACTCACTGTGGTCAAAACTGTCTATAACACAGAAGCGCTTCTTAGGTAACGAAGGCAGTTTTGAAGTTTTTCTGTTTTTTTTTTCTTCACAGTTTTTTCGCTGATATACGGCCTCATTGTAAATGGGCACCGCACCCCAGTTATGTGTGATGCCTGTTAGAGGAGATTTACCAACTATGATGCTAGTAGCTTAGTTTGTCTGCCTACTGCATATTAAGTTAATGTATCGTAGGTGATTAAACGAGGCATTTTCTAGAGTAGTGTGAGAGGAGCATTTGTTGTTGTATGTCAAAGCTCACTGATCTGCCTTTATGTTCTTCTTGCCCTGTGCTATTTAGAATACTCGATATTATAGGTATTCTCCGGCGACGACATGCGCTGCATTGCAGTGTTTGGTCAGTCATCTTCATCCACTGGATTTGAAATGCCAGCGGAACTGCCCGCTCCATTCCGCTCGGTTGGACCTACTCCGTTCCACCCAGCTAATACACCAACAGGTGGAGCTTCATTGGATGGGGCTTCGACCGGGCCTCGCCCTCTGCTAGATCGTCCTACTGACGTGGCTATAGCTCCAGACGGCCGAATTTACGTGGTGGATTTCGGTAATAATTGTGTACGCGTGTTTTGAGTGGATCTAACCGCTCTTTTCTAAGATGTGATCTTGTCGTTCATCAAGGTGGAACCTGGCTCTAAGCCAACATTTGTTTGTGTTGTATCACTAGGTGAACATGTGCTCTGTACGCTTTGAGCCGTTTGCATTATCGCGCCCCTCGCTTGCTCTCTTGTCAAAAAGTCGTGATTCGCGCTTTTCTATTCTCTTTTCCAATCTTGTTGGTTTGTCTGTTATGAGTTTCAAATAGAGTTTATTTTCAAGAAATGGTCAACTTTCCGGTTCGTTCGGTTGCATCCCATTCAACACTCCCATTGCTCATTAATGCCTGGGCCTATTGCTCGTTTTAGTTTCACCTGGTCTGCATCTGCTAGATCGTACACTGTACCTTGCCCAACTGCGCAAGGCCGTTGCTGCTGTCAGTATTCTCGTAGTAACCCTTATTCCTACCTCTGCCCTCGCATTCTAGCGCTGCGTAGCTATTTGATATTTTTGTAAGGGATCTACCTACATACAACCGTTTTTACCTCATTTAGTGTAAAACCTCATTTATCAGCCTCATTTTTTTATTCGTTTTCGCATTCGAGACCTCCTAGCATATTGTGTTTAGTCTACTGCTTCGTAGAGCTGCGAACGCTCTTTCCCAGCTTATCATCAGTAGCCTTGCCATAAGTGCAAAAAAGGTATTCGGAGGCAATGATGAGCAGGATCACACTCTGCGTTCCTTAGTTTAACCATACCAGTGTTTAGCGTCCCCAGTGCTCCGCGCCGCGGTTTTGTACATTAGATTGCGAGGCCTCGCCCATTCGTCGAGTCTAATTAGGGCCCTAATGCCCTTAACTGTACGTCTGTGTTTGTATCATTCTCTTGATTGCTCGAGGTGGATGACCATCGACTTGACCGTTTTAGTTCTTTTCGATCATGGATATCCTGTTGTGTTTTGTAATAGCACATTGATTCACTGTAACGCTACGCGTTGTTTTAACATTTGTACCCGGAGTTTTATCAGAGCCCAGTTAATGACCCAGTGAGATATATGTCCCGGTTCAATTAAAACATGTCAAACTGTGAAAAAAGAAATTTATTTAATAAGTGACATGTTCTTGAGCTAATTCTGGTGTTTTGATGTTTCGTTTTATCTTTTTTTTTCTATTAAACTTTTTCCTCTTTTCCTATGTTGTACGTACTTTGTGACAAGAAGTCAAATTAAAAAAAGCACAGTGCTTGGGTCGATCATTCGGTTGTCTATATAGAAACTATGTATGGGGTAGGCGAATTGGTATTTGGTGGAGACAATCTCGGATTTGGTGTAGAATTATCGTACAACAAGAAGATAAGCAACATATTAGAAAGTATTTGCTAACGACAACATCAACATTGCTTTTGATTGAACAAGTACAGAAGATGTAGGAGGCGTAACTTTGGCATCAATAAGTCTATTGTAATTGAAACAACACACAAACTCAGCTTCGGCTCGTCGACATCTATACATTAGAATGAATATAAAATGTACATCTAAGATCAATGTTTAGCACTTTTCATCATGTATAGAAGTTCTGATGATGAACGCAAAGAAATGAAAGATCTAGGTGATATCGAATTTTGCACTATGTCCAGCTCCTGTTAATCCACTACACTTGAGATATCTATCTATGTATGAATAAATCCAAACTTTGCCATATACTTAGACATTGTCTTTACTCAAATCAAAGCATTTCCACCTTTCTTCTCT